AGGAACTGCACATGGTCATCCATGTAACCACAAGCTAAGATATGTGAGCACATAAGTGGAGCTACCTGGTAGTCAGAACCCAGGGATGTGAATTTCCTACTTGGCATCTTCCAGAAATGATCTTCAAATTCTGGTGTCCACTATAGAGAGGATGAATAAGAGTGTGAATCAGGGAATACATTTTCTATTTCATAAGGTCAAGCGGTGTGGCACCACACAAATCTACTGACTTCAGAAAAGAAACCCACAACAGACCAAAGTAAGAACTGCACCAAAGTCCAACTTGGTGGAACAATGAGTTTTTATTGTAGCTACTAACAGGTGTAAGGGTGAGAAACTATTTACAGGAGCTGGGATGTTTCAGCAGAAAGCAGCACAGTTAATGACTAAGAAAACTGCACGACTCTCAGGCTGCTCTATACATCCTAGACTGTCTTCCCTGCACCTGGGTGGCCAATATCCTCCCCGGTGTTGTTTGTCCTTTATAAAGCTGGAGAGGGCCTTCCGGAATCTTTTAAGTTTTCATTTTTTCTAGACATTAAAGTCTCATGAGCCTTCTTGTTCCACCTGAGGGGAATATTTCAATTTTCAGGGAACTGCCATGTAGGTCATGGAGTCTCCTGCTACTTCAAGTTCCTTTGCTAGAATAATACACCTTTGAGGTTGGGTTTTCCCCCCTCATAACTCAGGCATGTAGATTGTGGCTTCTTATATCTAAACTCTAAATACTAAAAATAGCCTTCTTAAGGACAAATAAGGGGCATTTATTTTACTCTCTGTCTCTGCAGGTATTCCATGCCTTTCTGGCCGTATATCCTTCTACAATTTTGAGGTGCTCTATTCTCCACTGTCCATGACTCCTAATTCCCTTCTCTCCTGAGGCTTTCATTTGGCTACATTCCTGCCTCACAACAAGACACTGAAGTCACAGAAACAGGGTATTTTCCCTTGTACATTGAATTCTTTCTAGAACTGTATAGGGAGGAGGATAGAAATAAAGAGAGTAGGGTCTAAAGATAGAGACAGGAAACCCAACACAAACTCTGTCTCTTCTACTAAACACAACACCATCACTTCTGATGCTAAATGTCAGGAGGGAGGTGAGAAAATGCCTTGATTTCCAAGTTTTCCATCATACTACAACAATTAATACAGACAGTTCCTATGACCTCTGGATGAGGGAAATCCTCCTGCCACCAAACCAGCTGTCAGTTCTGCAATGGAAAGAAATGAGCTTCTTCTGCTTCAGTTCAGTTCTCACCTCTCTACATGAAGGCAGTTCTCATCTCTCTACATGAAGGCAGTTCTCATCTCTCTACATGAAAGCAGTTCTCACCTCTCTACAAGAAGGCAGTTCTCACCTCTCTACAGGAAGACACTGTCAGAACCCAGAGGCTGCAGCTGAATCCTAAGACTTCCCCTCCCCACCATGACTCCAGATGCCAGTCACCAGTCCAAGTTGCTTCACTTGTTTCTGACTAGCAAGCAGGGAACTGGGGTTCCCATGAGCCACTCTTTGGGTTCAGTTCATTTGTTTGCACAGTCCACAGAACTCTGCAAAGCACTAACCTTTTCTGGTTTACTTCAGAGGACACAAATGGAGACATATGTAGGCTGAGACATGGAGCATGGAGGTTCTATGTCTTCCCCAAGCATTCCAACCTCTAGGAACCTGCCTGCATTCAGCTATCTGGCAGATCTCCTTACACCAGCCTTTGCCGTTTTCATGGGAATTCCACTGTACTATCACGATTCCTAGTAGACTGGAAAGACAGCAAAGCCTGTCGATATCTTTTGTGGACTCCCTATGTAGCATTCTTTCCCTAGGGCATAAAGCAGTACTCCTCTGGAATGAGGAGTGTTGCATGACCTACTGTTCACCAGGAAACACAAACAAAGAATGCTGTAGACATTTGGTCGCTAGTGAAATGAAGATCAGAACCACAATGAGATAACACTTCACAGTTACTGGGATGCCCAAAAGAAAAAAAAAAAAAAGGCAAATGTTTATGTGGCGATATTTTGTTTATTCTATAACAAATAAGGCTTACCTGAAGATCAGAGTACTGAACTAAGCCACTAGTTAGTCATAGATGCCAGACAGTGGCACCACACACCTTTCATCCCAGCAATAGGGAAACAGAGGCAGATGGATCTCTGTTAGTTCAAGGCCACCCTGGGATATACGAAATTGATCCAGCTTAAAAGAGAAGCAGAGCTCACACAAAGGTGATCCTAGCATTTGGGATCCCATGATTTTAATCCCAGCATTAGGAGGAGAAGATAGGAGTGATATAGCTGGTTGGAGAGAGGAATATAAGGCGGGAAGAGACAGAACTCAGTGCAGTCTGAGCAGCAGTCAGTCTAAAGCAGTCTAGACAGTCAGCCTGAGGATGCAGTCTGAGGAGGCAGTCTGAGTGAGTCCAGGATCACCCCTTTGGTCTGAGCATTGGTAGAGGTAAGAACTCTAGGGACTGAACGCTCTGCTTCTCTGATACTTCAGCCTTCACCCCCTGATAGCTGACTCTGAGTTTTTATTATTGAGACCAATTAGAATGCAAGCTACACATTTGTAAAGGCATTCACAAATTAGAGCGCTTGTTCATTAATGCTGAAATTTAAAGTCAGTGCCTTCACTTTGGCAGGCAATCCAACAGTTCCTCAAGATGCTCACTGTAGAGAAATCAAGTCATGACCCAGCTATTCTGTTCTTGATAAACAAAAACATGTTTTCATAAGAACTTAGACTCATATGTTCATAGCAGCATTATTCATCCCATTAAAAGGTAGAAAGAACCTAAACTGTTAAATAACACTCCACAGTGTAGATGTATCATATCACCAACCCACTTGATGAATGAATAAACAGAATTTCAGCTATGCAATGGAATATTCTTTGTCCCTGGAGAGAACATTGGCATAGAGTGAGTCCTGTATGGTGACTGTATGACACTTTCTTGAGTCTGGGCAATAGGGACAATTGGGTACTGTGTCCTCCTACTTCTTCCTCCTTCTGTTTCTCCCACAAGCCATTGTAGAAAACCATTAGCCACCACATTGGGTTGGCAAGATGACTCAGTGGGTAAAAGCACTTCCCACTCTAGCCTGACAACCTGCATTTGATCCCTGGAACTTATAAAACTCTGAATGTGGCAGCTTGCACCTTTAATCTCAGCACTTCTCCAGGGAGATGGGATGTAGAGACAAAAGAACTGGACAGACGCCAGAAAGTCAGGCAGTCTCCAGTATATGGAGCAGCACAAGGAAGAGGGTTACTGCTCTAGCAAGGTGGGAAGGGAGAACCAACTCCCCAAAATAGTCCTCTGACCTCTACATGTACACCATACACACACCTGAGTGCACACATGTGCACATATCTACACACATGCGCGCGCACACACAAAGAGAAAACAAAAGAGCCACCATACTAGCCCCTGGCTCCACAGGTGACAAAGCCTTAAGTAGTAAATTCAAATTTCTTCCCTCCATCTTCAGGCCTTGGGATGGGAGCAGAGATCTAAATGCCATCCTTGCAGAGAGAGGGAGAGTGAAAGAGAGTGTGGACCTGAGAAGCTAATGGAGCGCTAATGCCTAATACCCACAATGCACAGGGAGAAAGGAGTTGGGCCCAAGACAAGTGACTCTGCTTTGTAACTGCCTAAGTGCTGATGGCCAGAAAATCTTAACTAAGCTGAATGATTCCACAACAAATTCCTACTCTCCATCCCACAGCTGGGTTCTGAATGCCGCTTGACGATCGTTCTCCTAATCACCACATGATTTCCTTCCCATCCCCTCTGCAGCTGTTAGAAACCTCCCCACCTCCACCCTACCCTCCTGTCTCCTCACAGAGGATGTCATCTCTGGAGCAAGGGGGACACCACAGGCTGCAACCACCATCAGCACCTTCTCTTCAACTCAAAACTTATTTCTTCTGCTCTGACTCAGCTCACCCTTTCTCTGGTTTTCTCTCAGGGATGGTCCTAATGAAGGTCCCTAAGAACCACCCCTCCACCCCTGGTAATTAATGTACATATCTCTTGTTCAGATCCTGGCACCATCCCTATCACCTGGGCAGCCTTGCTAAAGAAGCATGAACTGTCATTGGGGCTAGGGAAGTGGCTCAGTGTATAAAGAGTTTTCTGCACACGCATACAGACATGGTTCAGACACCCAGCACTAACATAAAAGCTGTGTGTGGTGGCATCTGCATGCAACTTCAGTGCTTGGTACCGAGAAATAGGTGGACCCTGGGGGCTGTAAAAAGTGAGCCCTAAGTTCAGTGACAGACCCAGTAGGTTAAGATGAAGAACAATGGGGGCTGAGGACCCAAGTTCAATTCCCAGTACCCACCTGGCAGCTCACAACTGTCTGTACTTCCTGTTCCAGGGGATCCGACATCCCCACACAAATATACATGCAAGTGAAACACCAATATCTATAAGATACAAATAAATAATTTTCTTAAAAAGATGAAGAACAATAGAAAGAAGACACCCAACAACCAACTATGTCCTCCACACATGCACCCCCGGGGTGAGCACACAAACATACACAGACACACACACACACACACACACACACACACACACACGCACACCTCTCTTTCATTGTTACTAAAACAGGTTAAGAGTACTTATCTCATAAGACAGTTGTAAAGGACATCATCTCTATTGTCTGGGTTGTAGGTTTGAAATATTTCCCAGTGAAAGGTTGAGGCAGGGAAGACACATCCAAAGCTACTGTCCCTGAATTAAACAATTATGTCTTAAATAGCTGCCACACCAAGCCCTGGGGATTGCACAGCAAACAGAGTAAACAGAAAACAACACGTGAATCATAAAGTAGATATTTAACTTTGCCTGGAAGTAGATGTTATAAAAAAAAAAAGAGGGGGCATTTAACAAATGGGACCTAAGAGTGGGGACACTTCCCTGGAAAAGTGGCAGGCAGAGGTTACAATATCAGGGGAGTGGTGAGTCATTAGCCTTCAGAGGAAGTGAGTCAAGATTCATACATCTGGAATGCACAAAGCAAGGGGAAATCAGCAGGGACTGGTCATCCGGAAGCTGTGATGGAGAGAATCCATGGTCCCATGGATTCAGCGGGAGGCAGTTACAGTCACTCACAGCAGAGTCTGGGGAAACGGAAAGGATGTAGAAGCCAAGAGCATCGCTTTGGACAGGAGAGACAAGGTAAGAAGCAAACGTATAGGTCATGGCTCCACTTCATCCTATGGAATAGAGATAACAACAAGTTTCTGGAACAGCCAGGGGCCCAGGCCCAGGGCTCCACCAGGGAGGAAAAAAGCAGGAAAAAAGCTCTTCTGTTTAAGTGACAGTAAAGCATCATGGGATGTCTAGGCCTTTTACCCCACAGCCTCTCCCACATCCATGTCTCCTTCAAAACGCATGCGCATCTAGTGAGTAACCCATGCCACCCGCCCATTGAATGTGTGATCTCTCTTTCATTTCTTTCAGTGTTGTCTCTAACTTCCTATCCATCATTTCATCCTCATCCAGTCTGACTCTGACCCTTCTTATTTATTTATTTATTTATTTATTTATTTATTTACTTACTTACTTACTTACTTATTTTTCCCTGTGCTGCCCAGGGCAGTCTCAAACTCCTGAGCTCCGGTGACTGTCTCACTTTAACCTCCCAGGTACCTGGAATCATAGACGCACACCACCATCTCCACCTCTCTGGAAAGACTCAACCTACAGCCTTCTGCAGCTGATTCCTTTCAGCCTTTTTCCTACTCAGCCTCTCTTAGAAAGTTTCATCAACTCCATACACCAGATTTCCCTGTTTCCCTCACCTTCCCTTTCCCCAGTCCTGGTATGGGTTTCTCTTCCAGTGCCCATTCCTGGTATTCCTACAACCCTCTAGGCCAGTGGTTCTCAACCTGTGGGTTTGGGGGTGGGATGGTTCTTTCACTGAGACTGCACATCAAAAATCCTACATAGCAGATGCTACAATTCGTAACAGTAGCAAAATGACAGTTATCATAGCAACAAAATAATTTTATGGTCGGGGTCACTGAAGCATGAGCAACTAACTGTATTAAAGGGTCAGAGCATTAGGAAGGTTGAGAAACACTGCTCTAGGTCCTTCTTTGTCTCCCCATGACTGCTTTGAAGAAGTTTCATCCTTTCCTATGCCTTCTGCTTCCCAGACTCTACACCAGTGTATTCCATACAATTTCACGGTTATTAGAAACTAAATTGTGTTCCCCAAAAGACTTGGGGGAGTCATTACCTCCCACACCTGTTAGTGGGATCTTATTTGGAAACAGGATCATTACGGATATGATCAGTTTGTCATTCTGAATTAGAGAAGGCCTATAAGTCCAGGGCCTGCTCTACTTTTAAGAACAGACATATCTGGCAACATGTGACCCACTCCAGTAATAACAGCAGAGATTAGGCCAATATACAATGTATACAGCTAAGAAATTTCAAAGACTGCTGGCAACCTCACAAGCTAGGAGGAAGTCATGGAACAGATAGTGTGCAAGCACCTCCAGAGGGAACACAGCCCCTCCGACGCAATGGCACCAGACTTCTAGGTACCCAAACACTGAGGAAATAAATTTCTACTGTTCTGAGAAACTCAAGTTCAGCATCATTTATTTCAGAGGCTCTAAAGACAATGTTTTATGTCTGCACTATCCAGCCTGACAGCCTCTGGGCACAGGTGACTACTGAGTGGAACTAGTGTGAAAAGGAATTGCATTTCAGGTTTTATAGCCTTTTGATTAACTGAAGCTTACATAGCAACCTGAGACTGGTGGCCTGCCCTACTGGACAGCCCGAAAGTGCCTGTAGGGAGATCTTATTCACAGCTTCAAGGTGGACATTCCCACTGGATGTCCTCCCTCAAAGCTTCCCCTCACGTCTCAAGAGAGATGTCTATTCTATAAATGTTGCAGCTCAAAATTATAGGCATCTCCTTCACCCCCACCTTCAGCACATTGCCAGGACCCCTTCATAAGTGTGTCTACCATGTCCTGTGCCATAAAGCTCTCCCTGAACTGGCCTTAGTTCCTTCCTCCTGACCCCCAAACATACCCCACTTGCTCTCTACACCCATTCTTGTCACTATTTGCTGTTCTGCTCCTGTTCAACACCTCATCCTTAGCCAAACTCTAGTCACCCCTCAGTATTCACAAGGGGTGAATTTTAGGAGCCCATGAAGGTACCAAGACCCTTATGTAAAACCATGCACCATTTGTAGATATCCTAGACACATCCTTCTGTGGACTTTGAATTCTCTCTAGATTACTCATAGTACCTGATTAAAACTCAATACTATATAAGTAGTCCTGTGATGCTGTATTTCTTAGCAAGTGATAAGGAGTTACAAATAGGTCTGGGCTCTATGCAGGCATGACTTTTTCTAATGTTTTTATCTGTTGTCAGTAGACTGAAGATACAGACAGAACACAGAACTCACAGAGGCAAGCAGTCAGCTGCATTTACCTTTCCCCTAGTTGAAACATTAAAATACTATAACCTCCTTTGTATACGCTTATGCTGCCTGAAGTGTCCTCCTGCTGGGACCTGAAGTGGAAATAAAGCCTTCTGTCTTCTCTGTCTCACCATGACCTTTTGAATCAACAGTCCACAGCTTCTGTTTTGTATAGTCACTACCCAGTAATCATCTCATGAATAAATAAGGAAATGAAAGAATGAGTGAATGAATGAATGAATGAATGAATGAATGATCAGAACAAAAGCAGTATCCATTGCTAACAATGGTAACCCACACTGTTGGTTATGGTAATTGTTAACATTGTTGCTAATTATGGAAACTAGAAAAGACAACAAAAATATAATAAATTAAAATTTTGCTGGGGTAAAACCCAAGTGCTACTAATTACAGTTATTTATGTTATTTATCTTACTTTAATGCCTAATTACCACACAGTGCAAGTAAGAATTGTATATATCATTAAATGTGGTGGATCCACTCAGTTGAGTTTTATTTCATCATAATAATGAATTACACATATATGCTCAAACTATGTAAATTATGGTTGATGTCTGCTGTTTGTTCCCAACCTTGAAAAAGCTTGGACTCCTAAATTTGCCTTCTTTCACATCCTAGTAATTTTGATTTTCTTGTCCTCCTTTGTAGCCTAGGTGACTGGAAAGGAGTGGTCAGAAAGGTTAAGTTAGTTTGGTCAAGGTCTCAATGGCAGTAAAGGATGACTTTTGAATATGCTTCTCCCTAGACTTGGTTTATTCATATGCATGTTCATCGGGAAAGCACATATAGAGGCCTCTGGCAGTTCAGAGGTACAAGGCTAGACAGTATGGGACAAGAAAGGGGGTAGTGACAAACAATGCTGTAGAGTTCCTTCCAAAAGCAGATTACCCACTATAGCCTGGTGCCTTAACCCCTCTCCTCTCCTCTCCTCTCCTCTCCTCTCCTCTCCTCTCCTCTCCTCTCCTCTCCTCTGCTCCCTTCCCACCTCCCATGCTAATGAGCCCAGTATTGGCACTAAGTCAACTCCCAGCTGAGCCCAGCCTTTGCTCCATCCCCACTGAGGTGCTAGACTTTTGAGTGAATCTGTCTCTGACCCTTCAGACCAAATGAGCCCATCTGGCAACCAAATGCCACAAGTGAGCTCAGTCAACACCACATGGCACAGAACTGAACAGCTGAACCTGACCTGAATTCCTCACCCACAAAATCATGAGGCATAAAAATGGCTGCCATTGTAAGCTTGGAATTTGAGAGATAGATAGCCAGAGATAGAACCACATGACACAAGTTCATTTTATAGAGTCTCTCGCTTAGTAGCACCAAACAAATAGCCAAGGGCCAAGCTAATAAACTATAGTAATTAACAAAACAAGCTCCCTTTTCTTTCATATGGCAATCCCCACACAGAGACAATGACAACAATTTTGAATTTCAAGCAAATAGCCTATCTGTGGACCTATCTGAAATGTCAGCCATAAAATAATTTTCCCTTTGCAATTTATAAGCCCTGACAGAAAGGAGCTGTCTGTGAGAACCCAGCCAGAAAACCCTTGGACAGACATTCTGTTGATAATTTTCCCATTTCCATTTTTAACACACAGAGCCTTTCACTATTCAAGTCAACTTTGAAAGGAAACAAGATAACATCCGTTTCCACTGCTGTCCTTCCATGCATTTAATAGCACCCGATATGCAGGTCCCTTTCCCTGGAGTTTCGTGTCATTCAAGCCCACCTTCTGGTGATCCTAAAACACGATGTCATTTTCTGCAGCTCCATCTAGTAGTGCAGGCCAGGAATGCAAAGTAGCTAAGGAGGGATGGAGAAGAGATTCCTGTAAGTAACCTCGGTGAACCAGTTACCAAATGCTGCAGCTGTCTGCCACAGTATTTCTGACAGGACAAATCATGCTGATGATGTAAGAGCCTTTTCTTAAACAGTGAAATGAGAGAAGGTGAAAACGCAGCGCTGTTGGAAAACGCTTTTCCTTGTTTGGGGAACCATATTCACAAATGATTAGGTTAGCCACAGTTCTGGGTTCCCTCAGCTCTTTGAAAATCCACATTCCTGTAGAGTTCTTCATGAAACCTGTCAGTTGGCTCCCTGGGCTCTTGGTTAGCTCACCAGTTTGCCATGCGAGTCACTGAACAGGGAAAATTACTCAGGGCTCTAAAGAAAATCTAATTCATTGAACTAAACCTTGGAAAAGAACCTAAATGAGTCATTGTATCCTTCCTCCTGCCTCTGGGCAGCACCACACCTTAGATCATTTGAGCCAAAGGAAAGGTAATCACATTTTTTAATAACGCAGTCATAGAGGAATCACAAACAGCATTACTAAATCCCACTTCTATATATAACTATGTCCAAAAGAACCAACAAACACATTACAGAGTTGGCCCCATCACACTAAGGACAGAGCCAAGAGCCAGGCTTTTGTGAAGTTTTTTAAAGGTGGTCCTTGGAAGCCAAAGAGCTAGGGGAAGCCATTCCCTGGGGGAAGTAGCTGTCCAAAGCCAGTGTATGGCTTATGAAATAGCAGATGGGTTGGTCAATCCAGTCATTCTGCCTTCCACACCTCACCCTTTGTGCAGAGGACAAAATGCAGGACCACATGCAGAGACTTGGGACGAGGGTGATAAAATCACACATGAAACTTCCCCCTCATTTTGTTTTGTTTTTGTTCTTTTTGGGGGAGGAGGGTTCCCTAGACCTGAAGTCTTTTTAAATTTTTTTTTCTTGTTTTACATGTCAGTCCCAGTTCCCTCTCCCTCCCCTCCTTGCCTGCTCTCCCCTTGTTTTGCCTTTTAATCTATCTTTTTCCCTTTCTTTTTCCCTATTGTTTGTTATGCCCAAACTAGGTAACAATGGTTTTTTTTAAATTCAATCTGCCACCCTTTACTAATAAACCTACAGCTGACAGGCAATGTATATTTACCCTTCCAGATACCTGGCAGGTGCTCAGTAGCCATTCCCTGGCAGACAGATCTGGAGAGAATGCACACAGCCCTAACCCACCAATACCTAATGTTTCCCTCCCTTTAAAATGAAGACTGTGACCTCACATCCCCTGAGGAAGAACAATGGACCAGTTGACTCGTTGATCTTTACAGCAGAATCCTAGGTTGATAAAAAGAAATTCTGAAAGCATGGGGCTCCTGGCTGTGGGATCAGAGTCCCAGGCTGGGCCCATGGCTTGCCCTTGCTTCCTGTTGGAGCACCATCTCTAACTAAAGAGCATGAGAGATTGACCATTGAGAAAAGAAGAATTCACACTCTTACCCTCAGCAAAGAGGCTGCTACTCCTTCTTCTTAGGGAGAAAATTGGATCCCGAGTCATTTATCCAGGACACAACTTCCCAGCCTGTACCCTACCGGTACCTTCAGCAATCTGATAGGTCAGTTCAGTCAGTAGAGCATGAGACTCTTAATATCAGGGATGTGGGTTCAAGCCCCATGATGGGCACCAATATGTAGCATGAATAATAAAAACCCAGTGACAGATATTGGGGTTCAAGTTGAGGATTGGAAAAGCACAGCAGCCAAAACACCAGAGCTCTTATCTCTATTAAGACTGGGTAATCCCGCCTTCAATGTGACTGGAGACTAATTGCATAAGACTGACTGTCAGCTCTGAGACCTTGCTCATGTCTTATTTACTTCTCTAGTGCTGGCATTAAAGGTATACTCCATCACTGCCCAGCTTCTATTATTAACCAGTATGACTGCTGAGATTAAAGGTGTGTACCACCACTATCTGGTCTCTATGGCTGTGGCTAGTTCTACATTCTGATCTCCAGGCAAGCTGTATTAAATCATAAACAATATATCACCGCAGCTATTCTTACCATGACCAAGGTCAGAAAGTTGCAAACCCAAAGTTGAGTTTATTTGCTCTGCATTTATTGTCATTAACATTTGAAAGTTGTCAGAATGAAGATGGATCACATATGAGAAGTTCCAACAATATTAATAGAACTGGGAGGCTAAGAAGGAGGGTATTATACATGTTTGCCTGACAACTAGCAAGAAGTATCACACAGAGCTGGGGTATGGCCAAAAGTCGGAGTGCTTCCCTTGAACTCAGGAGGCTCTGAATTCAATTCCCAGAACTGTTGCTGGCATTTTTCTTGTCCTACCAGGTCCCACTACTTCAGCCCCAAATGAACACACAGATGGTATATTAATTATAAAACTGTTGGCAAATGGCTAGGGCTTCTTATTGGGTACTTCTGTCTTAATTATTAACCCATTTCTATAAATCTATGTATTTCCACATGGTCTTGGCTTACCAGAGAATGCCTGGACCTGCTACTTCTTTGGTGGCTGCATGGCATCCCTAAGTGGTGCCTCTCTGTCTACCTTTCCCAGAATTCTCCTCATCTCCTAGTCCCGCCTATCTTCCTACTACTATTGGCCAAACAGTGTTTTATTCATCAACCAATAAGAGAAACATATATACAGAAGGACATCCCCCATCACAGAACCATGAAGAAGGGGAAGCCAGAAGAAGGAAAGGCTACCAGAACCACAACCTTGCACCACAACCTCACATAGAAAATGTTTTTGCAATGACATCTGCCGGACTGCCTATTCCACCTTGAACAGCTGCTGCCCTTGCAATTGATTTAAGGGTCAAGGGTCACCATTTCAAAACATGTAGTCCTTGTCATCTTACCCATAAATAATCCACCTTGTTCTTAACCTCTTTGAATAGGAGTAAGGTTCACTATGGAACCTATATTGCCACTGTAATGTCCATTCCTGAAAAAAAAAAATTAAACCTATTACTTTTGTTTACCTTTTTTTTTCTTTTTTTTTTTCTAACAGGGTTTCTCTGTAGCTTTGGAGCCTGTCCTGGAACTCATATTCATGTAGACCAGGCTGGCCTTGAACTCACAGAGATTCACCTGCCTCTGCCTCCGGAGTGCTGGAATTAAAGGTGTGCATCACTACCACCTGGAAAAAATCTATTATTTTGAGAGATCATTTTCCATTTAGTGTTTAGACTGATATACTTAATGGCATACATTTTTTAATATGAAATATCTAGCAGTCATTCAAAGAAAGGTTTGTAGCTACTGGATCTGGGAATAAGAAGGAATGGGGAGACTTCCTAATAAGAATGAGTGCTTTCCTGGACAATGAAAAATGTTACTGAACTGTGTAACAGATAAAGCCATACAACACTGTGACTATACTACATTCATAGAAATTCCACCAATGAGTGGCTCACTTCAAAAGCTTTTAATATTATATAACTTCACCTTCATTATTTCTTAAACAATGCTTGCTATATAGCCTAGGCTACCCTTGAACTCTTGCTCCTCCTACCTTAGCCACCACCCCCATTAAGTTTTTTGTAAGAAAAACAACTTTTTTTTTCAACTGAAGGTTTCAACTACTATATTTCTGGTTTCTCTTGAGAAACTGGAAGACCTTCGGAGCTAACCTCATCCCTCTGTGTGCTAACCTTCAGCAGCTCTTGAGCAACAGCCATCTGCTGAGGAAAGGGCATTTGCTGGTCCTGTTGCCTTTCACCTTTGGAGTTCCTGACTCCTGCTCCACCCACCAGGAAGCCACTATTTACCCCAGAGAATAAGCAAAGTACCCACAGAGCTGCTGTAAGGCAAGATCTCACCTCAAGACTTCAGATTAGCCGGGCATGCCTTTAATCCCAGCTCTCAGGAGTCAGAGGTAGGTGTATCTCTGTGAGTTTGAGGCCAGCCTGGTCTCCAGAGTGAGTGCTAGGATAGGCTCCAAAGCTACACAGAGAAACCCTGTCTTGAAAAACAAAACAAAACAAAACAAAACAAAACAAAACAAAAAAAAAAAAAGACTTCAGATTAGCCAATGCCACATGAAGCAAAAAGGCCAGGAGGCCCCAAGACTGGGATCAGAGAGTCACAGACACAGTGTGAGACCAGTGTGCTCCTATCTAGATGACTGGAGCAGCACCCTTCTCACCTTCCAGCCCACTCCATCCTCTATCTACCTTTGTTTTCCTTTCCAGTTCTTCCTACATCCTGACTTACTGTGTGTGTGTGTGTGTGTGTGTGTGTGTGTGTGTGTGTGTGTGTGTGTGTGTGTGTGTGTGTGTTTTTCCCCCTTAGGGCATTCTTACCGAATCATCTCAAGATGGCCTAAACAACAGAAACCTATTGGTGGAGGCTGGAAGTCTAAGATGAAGGTACCTTCAGGGCTGTGTGCCCTCTAAAGATTTTCAGAGAGCAGGCTTCCTAGATCCTTCAGCTGTGGTTCATCCAGGTAGTTGTGCCTTGACCTATGACATGGACTCTCCCATCTCTGCCTCCATCTTCCTGTGGCTTCCTTCTGTATCTGTCTGTCCCTGTATCTCAAATCTCTCTCTCCTGTTTCTCCTAAGGACACAAATCACTGGGTTTTAGAGCTACCTTAACCCCAGGATGATCTTGTGTATAGATCTTTAATTAAATCTGTAGAAGTTGTTTTCAAATAAAATCGCATTCACAGGCAGATGTCAGGACACAGACATACTTTGTGGAGACATATTTCAATGCTTTCTACTATGATAATTATTTGCTGTTCATATTGATGTTAACCTGTGGCATGTTAAGCAGGTCATTTGATTCCCCGTAAACAAGGCCTGGCACACAGGTGCTCAATAAATACTCCCAAATGGAGAATGAGACTGTGTACTTAGAAGCATGTTTGGCTCATGTCACTCAACAACCGATTCCATGAGCAGGCGCAATGATAGCAATCCAGTACTAATAAGGTAAGGATGGGTATCAGCTGTACCCCAGAATGAAACTGCTGTGTATTTATTGTCTTCAAACTGAAGCATTCCCTCTTGGAAGGAGGAGGGAAGCTCATAAGAAATCGGGAAACTAACAAAACTTACAAGTCTCACTAAAGAGACAAGAATCGCAAGTCCCATCCCCAAGATTTTACATATGTTGGGACAATTGTTGAGAGAGGGGAAAATCTTCAGTGAGCACCTGTAGGTTGGACAGGGAACCCCAAAATCACTCATGCCAAAGTGGGCTTCCTGGTGCTGCCCATGCTCCTGTATGTGACTGTGATAAACTCCTTGTGGTCTCTGACTGGTTCTGAGTTAATTGCATTGTATCTTTGCTGTTAGTGTTCAGACAACTATACTGGCCTGCCCTTGGGGGTCTGACAAGATACTCCCTCAGCTGCATCCACTAGAGGCAACACTTGAACACATTCACTATGTTCCCTTTAAAAGAGCCCTCTCTTTCTCTTTCTCTCTCTCTCTCTCTCTCTCTCTCTCTCTCTCCCTCTCCTTCTCCCCCTCCCTCTCCCTCTCCCCCCTCTCTCCTCCCTCTTTCTCTCCCGCTCCCTCTCCCTCTCTGCCTCTCACTCTCACTCTCCCTCTCCCTCCTCCCTCTCCTTCTCTGCCTCTCTGCCTGTCTCTTTGTCACACCCCACATCTCTCTTTCCACTCCTGCTGCTCCTATCCCCAGAGGCCAGTCTGCCCCCTCCCCCTCCTTTTCACATTCCCTTTCCCCTAATTAAAAACACAAAAACACGGAAAAATGCATGGACCCCAGGAATGGGAAGGGGCAGGAACTCCTGAGCTAATTGGGAGCATGAGGGTAGGGGAGAGGGTAGGGGAGAGGGAGCTGCCATTATGAGAGGAGGAAAAGAGGAGAGGAGGAAATGGAGGAGCAGAAATATTGAGTTGGGGGAAGAATAGGGGAGAGCAGGATGAGAGATACCATATTAGAGGGAGCCATTCATTATAGGTCTGAGGAGAGATCTGGCACTAAGGCAATTTCCAGAGACCTACAAGGATGACACAAACTGACAATCTAGGCAATGGTGGAGAGGATAACCTAAATGCCCTTCCCCTATAATGAGACTGATGACTACTTTTTATGCCATCCTAGAGCCCTCATCCAGTGGCTGATGGAAGCAGAGGCAGACACCCACAGATATACACTGAACTGAACTCTGGAACTTAGTTGCAGAGAGGGAGGAATGAAGATC